TATATATATATATATACATATAAAAGGGGTTTTTTTGCCTTAATTTTTGTATGTTTACAAATCTATCATGTCGTCGTTTCTATTGATGGGATCTCCCTTGAGCAGTGCCATAATCGTGCTAAAGAATAAAAAAAGGAATAAATATTTTTCATGTACTACGTATAAAAATATGTATCTTTCATCTTTTTTTTACTATGTACAAATTGTATTTATGTAATACTTACCAATAAAGATAAATGAAAAAGAGTACAATGCAATATCCAATATGAATCATGCAATCACGTGTGTATCTCTTCAGCTTGCTGCGATTGTGAATCTCTGTGGGGTCGTAAACTCCCAAATTACCACTGGGAACACTAAAGTATTCATAAAACAACCAAACTGTCATCGGTACATTCACCAGTGTTAATATAAACTGTCCGTGTATCAATAACAGAAATACCACAAACGTTTGTCCTATCAACTTCGGCAAAACTCCCTATAAATGAAATATAATAAATATAAGTAAATGTATGTATGTATGTATAACAGGTATGCTATATATCATACCATATTTAATTTGGAACAACATTCTTGTGCATTCAGATAATCACACTCGAGATCTGACAGTGTTATAATCTTCACACTTCAGTCAAGGAAAGTAATGATACATGACAAATTAATTAATAATGTCTGATAACAAATTCGGTCACTTGCATTATATAAGATTAGTACAAAGCTGCTATACATAAAATTAGCAAAATTAAATGTAAAAATAATGATATTAACATGTTATTTAACAGAATATATATGTATGTCTAGTACAGTACAGGTAACTCAGCAAAGACACAATGTAACACAGTAAATTATTGCATTCTTGTTATTTGGCAACATTAAATAAGAATAGAATGATTCATCGTGTTACACTGTGTCATTTGTCTCTTGCTGGAAAGCACCACCAAGCTCAGGGAGTCGAATGTATATCTTTAACTAAGATAAAAATTACAAAAGTGAGAAAAGTTACTAGAATATTCACATGATTTGTTTTTCTGTTTTTGCACTAAAACTCTTTTTCTCGTTTTCGAAATATCAAACATACACCTCATTTTAAGTTCCAATTATTTCAAGATACAATCGACTCCCTGATCCTTTCTTGCTAGTGCAGGTGGAAGAACGGTTTGAAAATGGCGCCATTAAAATTATCGCTACTAATTATCCGAAATAACCTCTTGTTGTAAAGAATCTCTCATGCGCCCATAAAGGCAATGGTTTCGCGAGCCTGACGTCGAAACTGTCAAAAGAGACAGAATGCACCTGGGTGACAAAAAGGATACATAATACACTAGAAGAAATAGCACACAGCCCGTGTCGAAGAGCGCGATTACAAACAGAAGCGGATCCGAGAACAGGCCCATGACGCTGCTACTTCCGCGTGAAAACGCAGCTGATCACATGAGATTCGCGGCCGACGCGGCCTCGGTGCTTGCTAAGTGCCTCCTTCGAATTACTTCGAATACTTGTCAGTACTCGTACTCGGATACTCGATCACCGGTTGAACTTTTGCTCCACTTGCCGTAAACTTCCGGGAATCGGGATACTGATGATTATTGAGACGTACACTTCACAGTATTGCCAACAGCTTCCATTACCAACGCTCAATTTCCTGCTATGTCACGAATAACGAACGTCTCTCGCGTCTCGTATTTGCGCAGATTTCAATTAACTAAACAAATTGCGTAGAGTTAATCAAATCTAGAATTCATATATATATACAATAAAAATACTAATCAAATTATATCGTTAGATTGCGAATTCCACTACTTTCCGAAGAACAAATCATTTATGAAAGATTTTTATTCAAGAATTGATAGAAAGTATGTCCAATGCTTAATCGGCTTAATTATTCTTAACAGAATAATTAAACCAGCTGAATTGCTTGAATCAAATTCTTGTCATCGAATTGGCTGCGACACTGGCACTGTCAGCACGGTGCTTGCCACAGCCAATAGTGCCAATACAGTGGCAAGATTTTAATCCAGCTAGCGATCCAGCAGGAAAACAAGCATCGTGTGCCGCTGGCTTTGAATTCAATTTTTATCAATTTCAAACTGTCGTTGGTATTGTTCGTTTTGTCTCTTGGGAGCTGCTCGGAGTTGCTCTGAACGAACCCAGTGTACTTGGATGTGATTCATTTAATGTTGTAAATACCTCGAAACATTCTTTGATTGATCAATACGTAAAATTCTTTCTTCTGATTGATCAACGAAGCATTTGCAGCATTAAATGAATTGTATCCAAGTATGCTGGGTTCGTTCGGAACGACTCCGAGCAGCTCCCGAGAGACAAAACGAACAATACTGTTGATGTCAATCATACCAACGTACGCTGGCCAAACATTGGATTGCCGCGCATGCGTGCAAAATCTAGGAATATTTACTCTAGTTCTGTTGGTCGTTCTGCAACGCATCCGTTGTTCGAAAAATCAAACGAATTCTGTGCAGTGTGCATTACTTGCGTGTGTATAGTAAAACGTAGATTGTGTACTCCGTAATTCTCCAGCGACTTTAAATACGGTGATGCTTAATAGTTATGGAGCTGTGGGAAAAAGTTATCTTAGAATGGGTGAGCAGTAATTTTACGTATAAGTGCAGAAAATTGTACCAAGGCGTCTCTATGGACTTTTGTGTAAACACAATCACGTTGAAATCTTTCAGTTTCACAAATGAATTTTTTATACCCTTTTACTTCTGTCCTTTGCTATTTTTTTTATACGATTTTTTTATTTTTATTATGTATTTAAATTATTTAATTCTAAAATTTTAAGAGCTGTAACTTTCTAATTGTGTTTAATAGAGAGAGCTTAAGAGATATATCTTAGATAAATATTTAAATTTATAGATCAATTGTCTAGAAGTGCAGGATGAACCAGTGAAAAATATAATAGAACTACAAGATGGAATATTTTATATCAATTTCCTGAAATTAATGTGAGTATATTGCAATGCAAACCTATTATCTAAGCTATTGCCATTTAACTCATTATGTTACAGAAAATGGAAGAAGCTTCAGGTTTTTGATCAAGAGGACATTATGAAATTTATAGAAGGCAAGCATATTCTTGTTTTTTATATTATTTTCCTAAATGTATCATCTTTAAGTCCTTGAATTTGGAAAAAAATTTTTCTGAATTAAAGTTAGTAGGAATACTTAGTAGAATGTAAATTCCATTTAGTTTTTTTAAATTATATATAACTAAGAAAATTAATATTTTGTTGTATTTATTTGCAGAGGAATATCCTACTTTTAAAGTTAACAAAGATGATGATACAGAACATATATACCTTGCATCCTTGCTATTGTTACATTTGTGTCGAGTACTTTTTGCAACACATCAGTCTCTACAATACAATATGTGTGATAACTTGAAAAACGAAACACAAATTAGAGTTAAAGCCTTTCTTGAAAGTGTTCTACCTATTGGCAAAGATATTACCAAGGAAACTATGAGAGAAGTTATTATGGAGGTAGTAGATACAGCAATGTCTATGGATAATTGTAAAACACCGCGAACACCATCCAGTAAGAACTTTTTAAATTCGCCTCTAACATGTTCTGGACGTAGCAAAAAAATTTTGATTGAACGAGTTCGAGAGTTGAAAGATTTGAAGTGTAACTTGGCAATGGAACGATTTACTAATGCGGATTTACGGGATGATTTATTAAGGCAATGCAATAAAATAGACAAGTTGCAGAAGAAGCTTGACGAAAAATCCGCGAAAATAAAGGAGTTACAAGCAGAATTGTTTAAGCCAAACACTCCTCAGTCATCTTGTACACAAGAAGATAGTTCACAAGAGAATTATTACAAGAGATATATTAATGATTTAGAAAATCAATTGAATAAACAGCAGGACGAAATTAATAAACTAGAGATAGAGAAAGATGCTATATCAAAGGAGTTATGTTGCACACGTAGAACATCTAAACATTACAAGGAAAATTTTATAAACTGCGAACAGTCCTTGGAATCTTTAACAAAAAAAATTGAATTAAAGGACAAAGAACTGATAGAACTTAGAATGTGCAACGAAGAATTACGCGTTTATATGAAAGAATTGAATAAAAATGCTAATCCAGAACAAAGTTTTGAGGTTGAAGATTTATTATGTCCTGCCACTAAGTCATTGAACACTAGTGAAGTTTTAAGTACTGTAATCGAAATTCAACTCCTGGAAGCCAAAGAAGAATCTGCTATATTGCATGCTCAAATTGATTCTTTAAAAGGAAGATATGATCTTCTTATGAAGGATTATAGAGCTGCAATAGAATCCAATAGAGATTTGCAAGAAAAGATAAAGACGCTAGATAGGGTGCAAGCAGAATTAAATAATGTGCAGAAGGAATTGGATGTATCAAATGTAGCGGTTACAAATTTACAGGTGGAAAAAACATCTCTTGTTACTCAAACTGAAGATTTGAAAAATTTACTTTCATCTAAAGAGAAAAAATTATCTGAAACAGAACAATCGAATATTACACTGAGTACAGAATTGGAAAACTTGAAACTAGATATGAAGAATTTGAATGAATTATTGGAAAGTGAAAAGATCAATTCCTCACATTTAAGTACTACTCTAACACAAACAAATTCACAAATAACAGAACATCTTGCATACATTCATAAACTTACCGATGAAAAAGATTCATATAAATCTTCCATCGAAAATTGTAGCAAAAAATTAAGAGACATCTTACATTGTGATAATCAGCAATTTATAGAAGTTAAAACTGATAATTTAAATAATTCGACACTTAATGATCTTACAAAATGTATTGAAACAATGTTGCATAACTGCAAAGTAATGTGCGTTTCGTATGAAAGTGATATTGAGAAATTGAAAACAACAATAGATGAAACAAATACGAATCTATGTAAGCAACAATTAACCATTACAAGTTTAGAAGAACAAAATAAACAGAATCTTGTGGAATTAACTAATATCGAGGAAGAGAAGAAGCAAAAGGATTTATTGATAGATGAACAAAAGCAAATTATTCTTACATACTCACAAGAAATCGAAGTTTTAAAAGAAATTAAAGATGAAAAAGATTCATATAAATCTTCCATCGAAAATTGTAGTAAAAAATTAAGAGACATCTTACATTGTGATAATCAGCAATTTATAGAAGTTAAAACTGATAATTTAAATAATTCGACACTTAATGATCTTACAAAATGTATTGAAACAATGTTGCATAACTGCAAAGTAATGTGCGTTTCGTATGAAAGTGATATTGAGAAATTGAAAACAACAATAGATGAAACAAATACGAATCTATGTAAGCAACAATTAACCATTACAAGTTTAGAAGAACAAAATAAACAGAATCTTGTGGAATTAACTAATATCGAGGAAGAGAAGAAGCAAAAGGATTTATTGGTAGATGAACAAAAGCAAATTATTCTTACATACTCACAAGAAATCGAAGTTTTAAAAGAAATTAAAGATGAAAAAGATTCATATAAATCTTCCATCGAAAATTGTAGTAAAAAATTAAGAGACATCTTACATTGTGATAATCAGCAATTTATAGAAGTTAAAACTGATAATTTAAATAATTCGACACTTAATGATCTTACAAAATGTATTGAAACAATGTTGCATAACTGCAAAGTAATGTGCGTTTCGTATGAAAGTGATATTGAGAAATTGAAAACAACAATAGATGAAACAAATATGAATCTATGTAAGCAACAATTAACCATTACAAGTTTAGAAGAACAAAATAAACAGAATCTTGTGGAATTAGCTAATATCGAGGAAGAGAAGAAGCAAAAGGATTTATTGGTAGATGAACAAAAGCAAATTATTCTTACATACTCACAAGAAATCGAAGTTTTAAAAGAAATTAAAGATGAAAAACTCGTTTTGGAACAAAATTTATGTTTATTACATGAATTAACAAATAATTTAACAAATCGAGAGTCACTGCTGAGACATGTTATGTTAAAAGATCTACAGAACGTAAATAAAGATCTAAAATTAATAAAAGAAGAAATTCAGCAAGACTTTGGAGAATATAAAAAAATTGTCGAATTAACATTTGAAAAATTGAAAAATGAATATTACATATTGTATCACAACTATCATAAAGTACAACAAGAAAAAGAAAAGTTAGAGCATAATTTCAACTGTAATAAGGAAGAATTATCAAAAATTCAAGCAATAAATACTACATTACAACGAAACTTATTAGAAAATGAAGAAAAGGTGGATACTTTAGAAAAGAAGGAAAGAATTCTCATCAATGAATTAAATGAATACAAACGCAATGTACAAGAATTAAGAGATATGAATCAAACGTTGGAAGAACTATACGCAGTTATGAAAACTGAAACAAATAATAAAATTGATAGTCTTGAGTCAGATAACGCTAAAATATTGCTCGAGTTGAAAGATGCCACTGATAAGCTAAATTTATTATATCAAGAAAAAAGTGATATAATGACGCAGATAGGATTAAAAGAAGCACAAATTAACAAGTTACTTTTGGATATTTTAGCTTTCAAATCAGAGAAGAATGATTTAATGAATTCTCATAAAGAAATTCTTAACATGAAAGATAAAGAGCTAGGAATGAAAGAAGAGGCCTTATTGATGTTACAAACTAAAATGGAAAAAGTGACGAACGAAGCAAATGTTATGGAAAAGAAAATGAAAGAGATAATTATTAATCTTCAAGAAATAAGATCCAGTCAGGATGCTGTCTTGGCAACTCAAGAAGCAGCTCTCAAAGAAAAGTGTCTATACGTAGAAGAACTTCAAGAACGTTTTGACAATTCGAAGGAGATCTTAAATAAAGAACTTGAAGACACAAAATTGTCATTACGTGAGTGCCAAATTAAATTCTTTGACTTAGAAAATGAATTTAATAACCAAAACAGAACAATAGCAGAATTACAAGTCACACTCAAAACAGTAAATGTGGAGCTTGAAAAGAGTAAGGAGTATTGTAAGCATATGGATGCAAGTCAAGAGGAAATTATAAAATTATGCCAAGAATTGGAACATCCAACGAAAAATTTAAATTCGACGATTACGAAAACGTGCTCAGACTTTGATTTACATGATGTATCGCAGTACGAATGCATTAATATCGATAATAATGCAAATATCTTGAATGTTATTAAAATAACTATTAATGAATTATACAAATCTCAGAAAATTATCTCGCATTTATCAAATGCAAATATAGAATTGAATGAAACTTTATCAAAACAAGAAGTACTTATAGAGAATGGTGTAAAAGACAAAGAAGAAGTTTGTAGCCTCAAGAATAAAATACGAGAATTGGAAATAATAGCACAGAAACGAAATAATTATCTTAAGAGCCTCATAAAAAATAAGGAATCTTTGCAGGAATCTTTGCAGAAAGTTTTCGACACGCGCAACGATTTAGATACTATTTTAACATCATCAAAACAAAAATGGAATGAAATACTGGCAAAGTTTCAAAATATTTTTTATATTGAGTATGCCGTTTGCGACGAGTTTAAACAGTTGCAAATTAAGAAGACAAGTCTTGAAAATGCATTGTTAAAGTGTCAAATTGATTATTCAGAGAATATCAAATCTGTATCTGATATTTTATGGGAAAAGTTTCTGTGGACAGAACAAAAATTACATGATACCTATTTATGTTCAATACATGAGAAGGAATGTTTAGATATACTAACTAATGTAGAAGAAGATCAATTTTCTAATGAGAAAATAGTAATTAATATGGAGTTGGAAAAATACAAAACGTTGCAAACTGATGTAATGAAATCTGAAGAAGAGATAAAATCTTTCACTGCTTTAGTTACTTTTTACGATAACAGTTTAAAATCTGGTGAAATCAAGAGTCAAGCAGAGATAGAAAAGAAATTACAAAATCAAATTAATCAGTTGACAAAGGAAAGAAAAGATCTAAAAACTAAAATGGACACTATGCGTTCGAGGAATATAAAATTAGAGAAAAATATCGATGATCTTAGAATGCAGATAAAGGAGCTAAAACCGACAGAGTCAATGCCGATGGAGACAGCGTCGACGGAAGTTAACTTAACAACCTCTGAAGGATCTGAAGTGCAATTCCTGAAAGAAGAATTAGGACGTATGAAAGAACAGAATCAACAACTACATGAAGAAAAAGAAGAGTCAAGCAAGCTAGCAAAACAAAAATTTGACAGTCAGTTAAAAGACATACATGCTAAATATGAACAAAAATTGGAAGATATGAAACAACAAATGGTAAGTAGAAAAATATCTATATTTTCAAATTTTAGGATTCATGGTTCACATAATGTTTCACGTAAATTACTTTACATTAAATTTACAGAAAACAATCTATAATGAGCAAATAACGAAGTTGAGTAAGGATCAAGAGAAGATTATGCAAGAAAAATTGCAGAATCAAATGGAAATGATGTGTCAAAGGCAGAGAGATGAACTTAACAAATACAAAGCACACATTGGCGATTTAAGTTCACAACTATGGAATGTGGGAGAAAAACTTCTAATCGAGCAACAACAAAAACAAGATACGTTACAACGTTTAAAAGTACTAGAAACTAAACTTAGAGAGTTCCAAACGGACCAGCCAATAGCCACAATTTCACGTAAAACTTGCAAGTACGTACAATTGTTTCTTGAATAGAAAATATATTATTAAAAAATTATCAATTTGACGATTAATTAACCTATTATAGAATGGAAAAACAGGAATCGTTACCTAATAATGTACAACAAGCACATAAAATAACAACGCTTATAACTGAAGAAACACTCGAAAAGAGGCACAGTATTAGAAGCATGCAAGCGATGGGCAGTGTATTTAAAACAGAGGATGAAGATGAGATCTTTGACAATGTTTATCTAAGTATATTTCGCAATTACATTATTATCCACGTTAACGTGGATAAAAGATTTAATTTTCCTATGGCATGCAGTAACCAATGCTTTCTATTTCAGCTGATTTGAAAAAAGGCAATTTTATGTCTATCACAGATGTCAACCGTTTATCTGTTTTACAAATGAGAAACTCTCTTTGCAAGCCTCATCTAAAATCTTCTTATCCAACAGAAATGCAATTTCTTCCTTCAACTTTGACTGAAGAAGAGATTAAAGTAAGTTTCTTCTTAATATTTATTACATCTTTAGTGAATTCTGATCATATATATTAAATATTTTGTTAACTTCGAGTAATATATATCTCTCGTTTATGTGTTTTTTATAGACGGGTTCTTCAGTAGAAGAAAACTTTAATGATAGTCTTAGCCAAAGTCTTCTCCCAGAACAGAAAGTCAGGAAAAAAGATAGATCTCAGGTAAGAGTATAGTGCCCATCATGTTTTATGAAATCATCTTTAAATATTTGCAATACTTTTTCTTTATTTATTGATATCATATAAAATATATAGATATCATATAAAAAACCCGGTCCTCCAACACCAAGTAAAAATGGAGGAAGATTATCACTGCAGGTATTTGCATATCTTCCTGCACGCTATTACCTTGCATACCTTCCTGCACGCTATTACCTTGCATACCTTCCTGCACGCTATTACCTTGCATATTTTGTACATATAGTTTCAAAAAAATCTGTTGTATTCGCTAAAATTGAAAGAATAAAGCTTTTTACAATGCTTTTATTATGCAATTGTATCATTAGAAAATTATTACTAAAAATTTGTGTTAGAGCAATGAATTAAGAAGTCCAAGTTCACGTATATTGAAGGAGCGAAATGTAGATAGAAGGACCACGACTACTCCTCATTCGCTGAAAAACATATTCTCGCTAAAACGGCAAGATGAAGTGAGTATAAAAAAATTAATTCTATAAAGGGATTAATTCTATTAAGGGATACTAATATGTTAAACATATTTTTTAATAGAATGCAACTAGCACGCCAAAACGCAGACTCAGTAGTCTTTTTCGCAAATCTCGTTTACAATCGGATCGCTGAATAAATATTGTAACCATGATGCATGAAAAATGTATGTTAGCATGACAACAAAGACAGTTTTATAATTACAAATTATATTCTCTTTATACAATTTACATGACATTATTTATTTAAATATTGCGGATATCATGTAAATTATATGAAATTAGAAGCTGTAGTATTTTACTCTATAATTATTTTTATTTTTTTTCGTGTTAGATACTGTTCTACTTTGGAAAGAGGTTGGGAATTATTGTAATTTTTGCAATGGTATGTGTAATAATGTGTAAATAGATTATGGTACATAAATAATACTTTATAAAACTTTATGAGACATTTAAATGTACAAAGCATTATCACAAAATGTACAGGAAAAGCAATATAATTATAAAAGTATATCAACTTTATCATATGCCTCTACAATGCCTTGAAATAAAACTATCTTGACAAACAATTGTATCTGTATGTGTTTATTTTAAAAAGTTATTAAATGGTTGGTAAGCAAGATATTTTTTTAAACATTCATTTTGTGTGATACAAAAAATGAAATATATATATATTGTATTATTTATAACATGAATAATGTAATAAATGTATAATGAAATAAACTCAATTGTAAAAACTTAAAATTTTTTCTTATATATAATAACATTATAACGTAATGTTCATCTATCATAAAACATATTAATACTTGCTCTATATATAAAAGCTCTATGTTAACTATAAATTAAATTGAAATTAATTTTGTGTAATTTTGAAATTGTGTAGCTGCTTCGAATACATATCACAATCGAATCATCTAAATTTAAGAATGTAAGAGAGCGAAGCTTTTAATGATACGATGTCTCCTACTCAGAATCAGATTCCTGTAATTTAATTTGAATCGATGTATATCATGTATGTAACTCGTAGTAATATGTTTATTCATATTGTAATATTATTCTTACCATATATTGTCCCTCAACATATCTTCCCGAGTTTCTAGAAGTTCTCCGCAATTCCCTGTGCTCTACTTGATCTTGATTTCGCCGTCTATCGAAAAATTTATGTTTTGTTTATTTTATAATCTCAAAATATATAGATACATATGACAACATACTTACGATCTTGACTGGATATGTAAAGTTTTAAGTTTGTTATCAATATCATGCGAAGGACTTGTCGAGGTATCTTCTGTGGGCGCTGAAGGAGACGTTTGCATTTCTGCAGTGTTATTATTTTCATAGATAGCGTTTGTTTTGGGTCCGCGTATTACTACTTTAGTAACTGGTAATCTAAAAAAAAATTAAATGATATCGACATTCATTAAATAAATGAATTTTATAATTTAGAAACGATCTATATTTCCATTGATATGTATTATTTTTTTTAGTCGTATTTAATTCAATAAAAATATGAAAAATTACTCACTGATTTTTCCGTGGACCACGCTTTTTCTTTTGTTTGCTGAAATAAAAACACCCATTTTCAGGTGGAAGTGCAATTATATTTTGATTATTTGAGATAAAGGGACAAAAATATCAAAATTACGAGAAATTGTCAAGTGCATACATATGATCGATTTGCATACTGAAATATATACGTATTTAGAATTTTTCAAAAATATTACTTTTTAATAATTAAAATATTAAAATCGAAGTAATAATATCAAGAGATGATACAGATGAATATAATGACACATATTTGTGAAGTGATGGGTATAGAGAACGGCGTGTCATGAAGAGGAACATAGGCATTATTAATTTTAGGAAATATGAAGTATACAGAAATGATCTATTCTTTTACTTTGATACATGTTATTGATTAATAAAATATTTTTCGCGCTTTTCAATGACTCTTTAATTTTGATAAAATAGGATCTAGGAGCGCTGGGAACAGAAGGTCTTATTTGAAGCAATATTTATTCATATGTCTATCACACCAATTTGTATTATTAATATATAAAGAGAATACAAAGTTTGTTAAGCTTACTTGGTTTTCAATCTCGATAAAATACACACATCGTTCTCTATGCACTATTTTTTCAATTATCTCAAAAATATGATACGACATTATTATATATTTGTAATAATCTCTTAATCTAGCAGAAATGCTTTGTTGTTAAAACAAGCATGAAATATAATAGATTACATCGAAAATATACAATTTTTGTCCCTTACATACAATTTTAAAGATACACAATTGATATATATTTTTTTTTTCATCTAAAAATATGTTCTTAAATTCTTGTAAGGTCGCCTGTAACAAGCGGTTAGGCTCACTACTCATGCAAACATATATGTATATAAATAAAAATTGTTTTTGTTTAAAATATGATGATTTTAAGTAACAATAGATATTTACAAATTAAGCACAAGCATGCAGTTATACTGCAAGCAGATCGCAATTTTTTAAATAAAAAATATAATTTATGATTCCATATTCTCTCTTTCTCCCTCTCTTTCTCTCTCTCACACGCACACTTTCTCAATAGTGCTTTAAATTTTTTAATATTTTAAACTTGTAAAATTAAGATAATTGTAACAATTGCATATTTTAACATCCAAATAGCAATTTTTAACAGTATACATCGATTCATCATCTTACATAAAATTCACTCTTTTCCGTAAATTCATCATAGCAATGAGTCATAACATACTAAAGTTTAATGAATATATCATGAAATTAATAAAGCATTAATGAAAAAATGGCAGTAAAATAAAAATATTATTAGTAACTGCTACCACTATTTCTACAGAACTACATTGTGCAAGCAACATTACTGTCTTATAGCAATAATAAAAGAAGCACATTAGTATGTGCATAGAATTTGCGCATCTTTAGTTTTATAAATAATATATATTGTCTACACATATATGTATATTATATATAATATTCTAATATATAATATTTTTTGTTGAACTTATTAATATGGTCTTATTATAATTACAAGTAACTGTTATGTGTGTAACTATTTAATAACATAAAGAAATTTTGTAAATCACTTGAATATTGTTACAATAAAAACTAAATTCTTTACTAGTTGCTACAATACAAATTACAATACATTACATATATATAAATTATAATATATAATATAATTATAACATATATAACTTGAAATGCAAATTATATACATATAGCTACATATACATATATAAAGACAGATATTAAAATTTGTATTGCAAAAGCTAAAGTATTTTATTTTTATTGCAACTATAATCGAGCGTTACCGATTTTTTGTTTTCGAATAGTTACATATAACAATTATTTGCAATTATAATTAAGATCATCCTATAACAAGTGTAACAAAAAAACAATATATATTTAATATTATATTAGATTTTCTCTATATTCGGGTACGTCCAACTCACCCAGCAAGTTCGTGATCAGAACCTTCGTCAGGTTCATCAGCATCTTCTTCTTCTGTAAAAATATATATATTGTTTAGACGATGAAAAAAACAGAATAACTTAAAATTAATATTTGACTCTGCAATTTACGATGTATCTATTTCAGTCTAAATCTGAATCCAATTCTACAGCATTAAATAATTTTAGTCTTGTATGAAAACGAAAAGAAAATATGAGCTTCAGAATATCCAAAATTACGATACATTTACCAATTAATTAAAAAAAATAGAGTTTCATCCCATGAATATATATACATCTAAAGAGCTTTGTAAAATAGTCATAGTGAAACAAAATCTTTCACCTGCTAAATCTTTCTTGCGTCTTGTGTAAGCTCGTTTGCTTGTAACTGGTACTTGATCAGTTTCACCATGCAATAAACTATTTCTATACAATAATAAAGGTTGCCAATCCTCCCCTCGTGAAGATGGCATTCCAGCTTGTAGTCGTCTATCCAGAAAGTTGAGTCTGCAATTGGATATATTACATCACAATTATAACATATAAACTTAAAGAAAAATATTGCCATAAATTAGATTAAAAATATAGTACTTACACTACACGTTTATCTTGTTTGAGAAGTTTATTCGTGAATTCTGATAATATTTCAAGGAATGGTAAATTCGGTGGTGGACCTGTAGGATCTTGTTCGACACCATCTGGAGGAGTAATGACGAATAACACTCCTGCACGATGCAAGGCTGTAATTGCTTCGCGATTTTTCACTGCGTCCAAACCAAAGGATAAAGCAAATCGTTTCGCAAGTTCCTAGACATAATTAGATTTTAGCATATTTTATCTCATTGCATTACAAAAACTAGATATCGATGGTTAGATACCTTTATCGCGGTAAATTCTTCGCTATTTCTGTTCACCTTGCCTTTGTCAATCATTATCTCGTTGTACAAAATATTTAAGCTTTGTTGCATTGTTAATGCACAATTCGTTTTGTTGATGTCTCTCGCTTTCCCTAATGTGGTTTTAATAATATCGCCATAGTCATTGTAATATTTGACGTAATGCTTAAACACATCCGCCGCAGCTTTCGTGGGAATCATATTATATACGATTAATTTGCAATAGCCAGCCAAAAAATTTCTTCGTTTGTGCAGTTCCTCGATTTTAGAGTGTTCATCATGTCCATCTATAAAATAAATTCATATTACATATATATATTTTAGTAAATTTATTTAATATATCACTTCTTTACACTCTTCAAAAATGATATTATTTAAATTTAAGTTTCACGGAAAAGGAGAAAACCGTTTTTCAAATTGACAAAAAATCATTGATTCTAATAAAATAATATTGATAAAAAGAATATATTATTAATATAATCAATGTCATTTTTGTTTTACAATTCTTGAAAAAAAGTCAAAGTTTCGAGCTATGCCGACTTCTTTATGAAGTTAAATATTACTTCATTTTTAATAATTGATAAGATAATGTTTACTTAAGTCATTCATGACAACTCAAAAATAAGGTTTTTTTTTAGTTGTTTATCTTTTTAAGAGGCAATACATTAATTTGAGACTCATTGATACTCATTTAAAACACTGAACAACCTAATGATAGAACATTTTTCTAACAAAAATTAGATTTAATTCCCAGTCTTATTGTCACGCGTATAAAAAATTTTATTTGATATGTGTATCGAAAAGATATTTTCCATTATGATACAAATAAGAACGAAAGCAAATTTTAAGATACATAGTAAATAAATCGCTGTATGTCTGTGTATATGGGAAGAATTAAAGTAAAAATATAAATAAATCACCATCTTCATCTTCGGAGAAGACATACTCTTGTATAAATCTATTTAGCATGTTTTGCATCGCTTGATCCGGTTCATATACCAACTGATGCATTAAGGGATTAGTATGCGTAGTCAGTTGGTTGCAAAATACCACTAACAAGTCACATATGGTATTGTACGCAACTTCCCTTAAGATCGGCGATGATGGCTATTTAACATTACAAATATCATTTATAAAACATCTTAACGTGTTTTATTTTTAAATTTGGATAAAAATTATAATTACCGCGCTACTGCTATCACCACTGACGAAATGACGCATCAAACCTATAAACGAATGCAGTCGTTCATTCAATTCCCGGCATTCATTCTCGCCACGACTGCCTGAATCCACAGCGTCCATCAAATGATGTTCACCCCATAAAATAGCGAAGAAGCATGCGCTTATACAGTATTTAACTGCCTTAGGTGGTAGGCATCTGTGTATAAACAATTAATTTAATTAGAATATATTTAAACATATTTGTATAGTTTCATAAATATAAGGAAAATTACTTTGAAGGATCTTTTGCATCTTCAATATCCTTATACAATGAATCCCATATACCCCAAGGATTCATATTATGACAGGAATAAAATATGGAAACTTTTTTGAGTGATTGGACAACGTTAAATATTTCATCTTCGTCTGGTTCCTCGTTTCCCTCAATCAAATTTCTATATTCATCTATCGCCTCTTTATATTTATTTACGATTGAATCAATTAAAGTTGAACGAGCAACGTCACACCTATAAGAAAATAATTAAAATACTGAATGCGCTTTAGAGTATGTATAATTTGAAAAAAAAAAATACATACCTAGTGAAAATAGCATGACCTTCCACACACATGTGTTCCAATGTTTTAGACGCTGTATCTAAAACTTCGGTATCATGCATTTTTTCTATAATCCCGTGAATTTTACTTAATAGAGAGTCTAAATTTATTTCTTGTCTAGATTTTGTATAAATATCCAAATCAAAATATTGTGGGATTGCGAGTAAATTCGCCAATTTTTCAGGATCGGCTCTGTATTTATCAAGTAGTAATGGTAACGTTTGAATAAAATGTTCTGTCAATTTTTGCTTATCATCGCAAACTTGTTTAAGTTCTTTCACTGATAGAATTTTTCGAGTAGGTCCACGGCCGACTGGTGCTTCACCTGTAGCAGCTTGTTTTATACAACACACCATTAATTCAATAAGTGATGTCTCTTTTTGATTATCTAACGCTTCCTCATCGGGACCAGCTTCCTCCAACAAAAGATCTGTCATGCATTCCCAATCCTTCATCATTTGATTAGTTTCAATCAGAGAATCAACTAGATACGCTCCGTGCTCGTGTAACTCAGATTCGATGAAGAACAGAACAAGATCACGTATAAGTGGTGTATTCGGTAATCGTTTTTTGCCACGTCTGGTCTTAACACTCGCCATAGTTACTTCATCCAAACGGAACAAACGTTCGTTCAAAAATTCACCAGCCGCCTGCGCGACCGCGCGATGCGAGGAATAAACAAGCTCGTAAACGTGTTCGCAGTCTTTATCAGTGAGGATTTCTCTATGATGTTTCAAGATTGAGATAACCAGTTTTACAGCCTGGACCGCCACATCATATTCTTTGTCCAACGTCATTGCGACGATTCTATCTTTGAACTTACTTGTGAACAACTCGAGCTTCGTTTTCAGTTCCTCTGAGGCGTATAATGGTTGTAATGCCTGCAAGCATTTAAGTCTAACTTCTCCAACTTTATCATGTAAAGTCCAACCTATAAAATTCAAACACGCAAATATATTATGGCTTCTATTATCATGTATAAAAGTAAAAAAAATATTATATACCAATATATTTCAAATAAGAATCATCTAAGAAATTTTGGTGGAACTTCTTCATCCAGACTCCGATTTCTGCCATACAAATCGCACGTATTTCTGGCAAAGTATCTCTGTATCTATGAACGAAAACAGACTTGAACATGTATGTAAGCATGTTCTTTATTTCATCCATATTCTCTTCCAATTCTTTTCGCTTTGCCATTAAAGATTCCAATCTGTCTGCTGCTCTTTTCTCCCGAGCCTTTTGCCTCTCTGCTTCATACTGTCGTTGTGTGTTGTCCAAATTTATAGATACAGTCAAAGCAACATCTACTAAAGCTGTCATTAATTTCATGGCTACAAGTAAAATTTTTATTAATGCATATTTTGAAGCTCACAAAATTTGATAAAGAACATAGTTGCTCAATTTGTTGAAATTTACCTGCAAGCGTTGCAGTATGTCTAAACGCTCTTACTTGTGAATCTGACAGCCCAGTTAGTAAAGAAATAACATTATCCATTAAAAATTGATCATAAATAATCGAATATTGGCATTGTCGGACAAGAATTTGAACAAATTCGCAAAAATTTGCACGAAATTTCTTCCATTGTTGTCCTGTCATTATTAATGGATATTCACCACTTTCCTGCAGAATAAAATTGTATAATGATAAAATTACGATTTATTAAGTAGTATAATCTGAGAAACATACTTCGTCAAATTCCTCAGTCATCTTGCGAATTATTGCCACATGTTCCATAGTCAGTTGCATCTCTGAAGTAATGCGACCTTTGCAACCACTTGCATTAATAAAAAATTGCATCAACATAAGAAGAGCGTTCTCTCTGTTACTTTTATACTTTTCTATCCAGTCGTCAACAATAGTCTGTCAAATATTTGTAAAAGGTTTTGATATGTAGCTCTTCTTCATGTACTTATTAATACATAAATCAACTTACAGTAAGCGACGAACGATTATTTCTAATAACATAATAAAGACTAGCTTCATCTTCTAAACTATGTGGATGGTGTACTCTTTTGCTACGTCCTCGTCCACCACCACCTTTGCTTTTGCTAGTGGGTAGTGGAGCATAGTCTGTATCGATTTCTTTGTACTTAGGTTGCTGCACCACACCTCCTTTAAAAAGCCAAGAATTACAATTTTCCATATTATCTGCTGCAAGGTTTTCCATAAATATTAATAAAATACATATTCATATATACCGCGCATTCTGGCACGTGTGTTTCTTGTAATCCTCATGTTAGAAGCTGCTGGAGTTGCAGGAGCCTCAAATTGTGTTTGATTATCAAGGTTTCCTGATTGTTCCTGATATTGTTGAGTTGTACCTGGTGAACTGTAGCTCTCGGATGAGTAATGCTCTGGACTATAAATATATAATATATTAATTTAAAAACCCTTATATATAATTTTGACATAATAACTGATTATAAAAATAAATATAAATATATTCTTTTAAAGTATTCTTTTTTTTTCTTCCATTTCTGTTTTTTTTGCAAGTAATCAAAAAAAGATAAAATGTAGGGTCCGTTCGTATTGCTTGTATTTTTTGCATTTAACATCTTTGCTTTCTCTCTTGTCACAACGCCTAAATATACATATTTAAGTTCAAAAATTTTGGAAGATTTTAAGCAACGTAAATAGACCTATTTGAGTTACATCATTATTGTAACAAATAAAATTATTTATTTCAAATACAAGTATATATAGGTACAAATTCAACCACAGATTTAATAACACTAATAATAACGCTAATTTGATATTTACGTGGGATTGTGCAGCGGAGTCTGAGACGGAGTCTGATTGTACGGTGTATATGGAATTGGAATATAAGAGTCGTTCGCGTCCCCGCCGGAATTGTCGTTCATCGGCGTCAACGGCGTCATCGGCGTATCATACTCCGGAGGTACCGGATCATCCATACGGATCCGCTTGCCTCCCCTTCTGTGCATCATCGTGACGTTTTCTACGTTTTAGTGCCAGAAAAAAGATTTCGAGTCTCCAGGAAAACGCGTACTCTGCCGCAGTAACCGCGCGTTAAGTCGCCATAACCGCGCGTAAACCGTACTTTGCCGAGATTCTCATTAAACGCGTCGAGACGCACCATTCGGATACTTTGATAAAGCGATACCTCGCACGAAGGTATATTTCTCGACGGCGCTTAAATTTAAACTTGTTTTCGACATTCAATGTCTTCTTTTTTCTTATTGACGCCTGGATTTCCGACACAACTGTTTGTTCGCGATGTCTCGATATCTACGTTCTTGATTTGATGCCAAATTCCGTTTAGTTGTAATCGAGATGAGACGGCGACACCTTGCGAGCTTGAGACGCGTTCGAGAGTCTCGACGAATGGTTTTCATTGGCCGCCCGATGAGAATTCCCTAGATATGTCTAGACACGAAAAGGCGCGCCCACCATTTTGTCCCGCCATTTCCTTCCAGCCGTAATTTGAATCGTCTGTCTCTTTCCTCCTAACGCCTTCAGTGGCTGTATCGTATTATTCTTTTGAGTACGTTTCATTTTGCACCACAGTTTTCTTTTGTGAGTATATTATTTATCTCTGTTTAATATTTGATAGACAATAAGATTGATATGATGTTTACAGCGTGAGCGTAAAACGAACTTCTAGTGACAATCCTTCGCCCGCGACGAGGAAAAGTGGAAAGCACTTCACGCGCGTGCAAATGTGTATTTAACATTGCAAACATTTCATCTAAGTCATCCAGGTATCAATTTATCCTTGTTTTATAATATTCTGTGTTCAAGAATACCCGGGTCAGAGAGTTTCTGAATGTGGCTTAGAATTAATAACGAAAGATAATTTGAGGTACGTTTAATATGTCCGTTTTCTACCGTAGATTACTTATTATTTATATCTTTTTCTAGTTCTGAGAATTAGAAAAAAAATGAAGAGAAAATTAAACCGAGATTAAAGTTAATCTAGTAAATATATTTACTGATTTTTAAAAATGTGACGGGCTGATTTTCCTGAAAAGTTTCGACGATTCCTTTTCGAGGCGTCGATCATCGATCGTCATGGCGGTTGTGATTACAGACAAAATTATTTTTCGAATATCGAGATGGTAAATCTGCTAACGATGCAAAAATACAAAACTTACACGCTTTTTTTTAACTCTTTTATTACTCTATATACTTTCGTTGTTATAATGATACGTAAGATTATACAGTGATACTCTACAAGTTAGTTTTGATAAGAAATAAGAGAGGCGCGGATTCGAAAACGTTCGCGCGGACGCCGACTTTCCCGAGGAAATACGACTCTCGTGTCTCAAATCTCGATTAAGTTCCGATTAACTTAAATAGTGGGTCTGTTTTTTGTTCCTGCACTGACTAAACTAGTACACACGGTGCAATAAGTTTAAGTGAAACAAATATACGTTTGTTTCACTTTAACTTATTGCACCGTGTGCACTAGTTTAGACAGTGGAGGAACAAAAAACAGACCCAGTGATTCATTCGATCGGTAAAATTATTTAAAGCAAAAATTTGTAATTGCAGAAATCGTTGAAGATCTCTAATCTTTCTTTAAACATGTGTTAATAAAATTCAACAAAATTAATAATTTAACAAAGTAATATCATTCGTTAAATTATTAATTTTATCGAATTATTAACATACATATTCCATAACAGAAGATTACAGACGGCGGATTATACAATTAGAAATTTTGCACTGTTGATCACTGATTAAGTTAATCAAACTTAAATTTTAAGTTTTGCCCTTAAGAGAAATTTCCCAATTAGCACTCTCCTCATCCAAATTTTTAATATCACACTACTTTGGTTTTATTAAATAATTTTATATTGATCTTTTTGCGCATTCAAAATCAATGCTAAAAAAGTTGTATTCTATATATTTTTAAGTCACATTTAAATCGTTGTAAAAAAATCAATTATAGTACTCATAATAATAACTCATACACAAATTACAATACATTCAAGTTATGAGAATGATCTTTGTGTCAAACTAATTGATGTACAATTCATAATTAAATTAATCAACGGTAATATCGATAGATGATTTAAAAGTGTAAGCGAAAAGTCGACATTTTTGAAACGTAGAGAGAGAGAGAGAGAGAGAGAGAGAGAGAGAGAGAGAGAGAGAGAGAGAGAGCGAACGGCGATCGTAAACCCGATCGATTAATCTGCGGTACAGAATAAGAAATGTACAAAGCGGGCATGTCTTTTTATTTCTTCTCTCGTGCCGTATTCGCTTAATTGCCTACTTTTTCTAAGACTACAGTTTCGCGAATAGTATTACTTTTTTCCTTTCTTTTCGTGTGTTTGCTTGCGCTTACCGAAATCGTCACCGTCATCGCCGGTAAACGCGAAATCGCCGTGCGAACGGAATCCTTAAGGCAGTCGTTATTAAGTACTACGATAAGTTTTGGCACTTACAGATTTACGATTGCACTAATTGCGAATGGTACCGGCCGCGCTCTCCGAGAAAACGCCTTTCTTCTACACTATGTATAACATATGTATATTTGATATCAAATCTCTGCTGAATGCGGCGCATCGAGAATCGCAATCCTCGTGATATTTTCTATGTTAGCTTCCTGGGGACGGTATTGCTATTAATTTGTCGGTATTGCTATATTAATAACGTTCGACATTACGATATTATCGTTCGAAAGAAATTTTACAATAATCTCCCCGCCTATATATCGCATATACACATATCTGTCTACAAAATTTCGCTGTACCATTTATTTAGTCTTACTTTGCTACGAAGGCTTGGAAATCTTTTTGTCGTCACTCCTTATTATGACGGCGAAAGTTAATATGAAAAATGCCCAAAATATAAATATGCTCGGAAAGAATTGCTGAAGTATCTAAAAATTGAGATAGATACAGATTTGAAAACAATTTTGTTACACCGTTAAAATAATTATGTAGGATGATGAGCAATGCTGCAAAAAGTTTTTCTACATTCTAATCTTCAGTTTGAGCATCTTATATAATTATTTTGATAGCCCAACAAAATTTATTTTCAAGTCTCTAGCTAAACCTTTAGATTTAGATACTTTAACAAAACCGTTCTTTCCGCGTGCATAAAAAAGTGGCAGTGCTTTAATTCGGAAAAAATTGTTCTTGTTCGTTTGCTTGAGTCGCATGTAACGTCGTACATGAGAAATGTCGCTTTGACAAATCGCTTTAGCTCGAGTAAAGCAACGCAAAACTGCTGATGTTACAACGTTGCGATGCACTCGCATTCTTTGAATCTATATTGGTGCTTTTCAGCAAGAAACAGTGTTAACACAATCATTTCATCTTTGTTTAACACTGGCAAACACAAGTAAGAAAATATCCTATATATCTCAAAATTTGAAAAGAGCTTGATATTTTGTATACTCAGATTCTATGAGAATATGAGACGATAATTGTCGCTTGCCTTAGTATTGAAAACAGAAAGCAGTTTTAATGTTTTAACATTTTTCCATTTTAAGTGCAAACGTGAAAATAAAACGTGAAAATAAAACGTGAAAAAAATTCTTGCCTGTTTGCTGTTTCATCACACGATTTACACGGAAATTTAATATGAAATTCAACGTATAAAAAATATTCAGTAATTCCAATAACGGAGAAATTATTTCAGAAAATATTTTAGAGAGAGGCAGAGATACTTGAGCTTCAGGCAAGGCAATATTAATAAGCGAGATTGAAAATTTGCATCGTATTAGTCCAGATGTAGATAATATAAACAAAATTGGCACAGCGAATGTTCGGGAACACGGACGATTCGTTAAAAGACACAGGAAGAAGAAATGTACGTAAACGACAAATCACTGGTAACTGTTACGCGTGTTCCATGTGTAATATTCTTACGCAAGCCGTGACCTATTTTTCCACTAATAAACAAAAATTTTAAAAAGTAGCTCTCTATTCTCATATATGAGAAGCAAGGCGTTAGTGACGTTTCTTCGATACTGCTCGCCTAGAGGCACGTTATTTTTCATGGACGCAATATGTTTAGATAGGACGCAAGGATCAATAGCTCCTCGTTCCGCCCTCATGGTATAATAATCGACGGATGTTCAGGGGGATGAAATTCAAACGAGGCCGAAATCCGTGTGAACGGTGACGTCGCAGTTGTTGGGTTTATCGGCGGCCGCCATATTCACCTCCACCAAGGTATCCACGCTGTTAATCGGGCAGCCTTTGAGGATTTTCTGCGCCGCTAAGCTGGTAAACTGCACCTGCATGTCGCTGAGACTGGGATAAGAGTGCAAATCCGAGCCTCGACTCACGGTCTTCTCCAAGTTGGGCTCGGAACCCTGAGGAGCTCGCTGCTGCTTCACCGTCTCGAGATTCTCGATGTATACGTCGTTGAAAGAGCCACCGAAACCGTCATACGACTTGGTAGGTGACGGCGGGTTCGAGGCGATGTTATTCTTCGAACCGGGATGAAGTAGATTGCGATAACTCAGCGCGTCTTTCGATAACGACAGGCTAAGCTTACGCGAATTGTTCATCGCGTCGTTGGTGTTCTTCGTGGTGGACAAAGCGGCAGCCTCTTGCACCAAGGCGTTCTTGTCGACGTTGTTGGCTGAGGCGTCGATCAAATGGGCCTGACTGTTATTCAGGCGGTTCGTTAGCTTCAGCTTATTAGGCACTTCATCTTCGACTTTCGGCTTGTTCTCCTTGTCAGATTCCGACAGTAGAAGACTCGTTTTTGGATCTTTCGGCGCGTAGAGCGATGATGGACGCTCAGCCTTGACCGGTTTATTCAGCTTCTCGTCGTCTAGTTTCGATTTAAAAAGTTTCTCATCGTCCACCCGGGTCTTATAGGCCTTCTCAGCTACTAGTTCTCTTTCCTGCTTCTCCTTACAATCGATGACTTCCTTCTCGGCAATCTTCGTCTTCACCGTGCCGTTCTCGAAAGTGATTACGGACCTCATCGGTGAGTTATTCTGGTGAACGTAGATCTTCGTGCCAGGCGAGCCGGAAATGGTCGTCGTACTAGTCGTATTGGAGGCCAGTGTCACGCTATTCTGTAT